AGGAAGAGAAGAAAAATAGTGAAAAAGTAAATCCATCTCTGAATAATGATAACAAAAATTATGACCAAAATAGGTTTATTTTTTGCAAATATTTCAAATTGCAGTTATTGTTAGTTATGTAATTCATTTTAATGTAAAAAGTAGTTACTCTTTAAAAATTTTTTTTTTTTTTGGTTTTTTTGAGAGTTGAGACCAACTTGGAACTCACTATGTAGTCCAGGTTGTTCTTGAACTCATAGAGATCCTCCTGCCTCAGCTTCCCGAGTGCTGGGATTATAGGCGTGCACTACCACACCCAGCTTTTAAAAATTTTTGGCACAGTATTTTGCTACATTATGCAGTTTGGCCTGGAACTTGACTTTCTCTAGACTCAGTCTCCAGAGTAGCTGATATTATAGGCCTGTGCCACAATACCTGGCTTGTTTACATTTTTGATTAAATATTTTTAATGTAGACTGTATCAATTCATGCTTTAGAATGTGAATATAAATACTTCCTTCTGCTGTTTTTTATAGGGTTTAATGTTTTTATTTTATTTTTATTTATTTATTTTTTGGTACCGGGGATTGAATTTGGGACCTTGAGCTTGTGAGGCAGGCAGCAGAACCACTGCACTAAATCCCCAGCCCTACATTTTTATTTTAAAGGAAGGAAATCTTAGGTGGACAGGTGGTGTATACCTGTAATTTTAGCATTCCAGAGGCTGAGGCAGGAGGATTGCTCTGAATTTGAAGCCTTGGGCTACACAGTGAATTCAAGGCCAGCTTGGACTACATTGTGAGACCCTGTCTCAGAAAACAAACAAGCAAACAAACAAATAAAAGAAAGAAAATATTTTTAATATGAGAAGTTATAAAACTAGAGATTACCTGAATACCCTCCACCCATCTCCCCCTTATGTTAGCACCTTATATTACGATAGAACAGTGATCAGAATCAAGAAACTAACATTAGTACAACACAGTCAATCTGGGGAGACTGTTTAGATTTTGGCAGTTTTTTTGTAACTGTCCCTTTTCTCTTCTGGGACTCAGTCTAGGAGCCCACACTGCTTTAGTTGCTTTGAGTCCTAGTCTTTTTGAATCTATGACTTTGCTTGGTCTTTTCCTGACTTCTCATGGCCTTGACACAAAATACTGGTCCGGTTTTTTGTTGTTGTTTGTTTTTTGGTACCATGGATCCAAGTCAGGCCCTTGGGCTTGAGAGGCAGGTGGTGGCACCACTGAGCTAAATCCCTGGCCCTTGGTCAGGTATTTTGTAGATGGTTTCTCAGTTTCTGCTGAATGCTTTATGTGATTAAATTGAGATTATACTTTGTGTGTGTGTGTGTGTGTGTGATTTACACCCCTTAATATATCGTATCAGAAGGTACAGCATATCAGTTTATTGTATTACTTCATCACTATTGTTGTACAATGAAAAAGCTGTCCTTTTTTCCATTGAACTGCTTTTGTGTTTTGTCAGAAATGGATCAACGGGATATGAATGGGTTTGTCTCTAGATCCTTCTCTTCTTTTTACTGTGTGTCTCTCCTTTGGGAAGTACCACACCATCCAGAATATTGTAGGTTTAAAGGTAGTTTAAAATTGTTATTTCTCCCATCTTGATTTTGCTTATCTAAGAAGTCTACTGAGGTTTGTCGGACACTCCTTGTTTAATGAGTTCTGTTCCTGCTACTAGGTTGTTAAATGAATTGGACACTAAATGAGGAATTGCATATAGTATGTACAACATTTAGAACAAAGAAATGGTCAAAGGAAGCTCCAACTTGATGACTTTGCTTTTACATATTTTCATAACTCTTCTGTGAAGTGCTGTAATGTGTAATAGCATAAAACTACAGTAGTATACTGTACAGTACATTCAGCAAAAATAGTGCTGTATAAGCAAGGTGTACTGTATAAAAAAGACATTGAGGCTCCATCACCAAGATGTACAGAACTGTACAAACAAAAAGATAGTTTGTAAGCCTGAGTGGTAGGTTGTAAGTGTGAACTGCATGCCTCTGTTATAAGTCTGAATAGTCGTTATATGAGGAACATCTGTATTAAGATTCCATTAACCTGTAGATTTTAACAATATGGAGTCTCTTAGTCTGTGAGTATAGTTTCTCTATCCTTTTGTCTAGGTCTTGTATTAGCTGCTTACAGTTCTCAGCATACACACACACACACACATGCACACACATGTATGTTTGTGTGTGTGTGTGTGTGTAT